ACACACACACACACACACACACACACACACACACACACACACACACACACACACACACACACACACACACACACACACACACACACACACACACACACACACACACACACACACACACACACACACACACACACACACACACACACACACACACACACACACAGATGAGAGAACGTCCTTGAGGATTAAGGATAAAATTAACAGATGAATAGTGATAGAAAAGATTAAAGAAGAAAAGAACACAGGACTCGAGGTCACTCGCGGGACATTTTGAATGTATTTCCAGGCAGATTTAACATTCGGCGCACACACGCGCCTCTGTTTGCTGGCATTAAAATTTAATTCCGCCTGACGGAGACTCATATGAAATAATCCACGTTCATAACCCGCAGAATAACTCCTGATTGGCTCTCTGCGGATGCTAATTAAAGGCAGCATTACGAGGCAGGTGTTCGTCCCGCTCCGAATCAGCGCAGAGCACAGAGCGGTCATCATGTAGTGATTCTGTCATACGGGGTCAAAGGTCACATGTCATCCATATAGCTTACTATATAGTATGCATACTGTGTATAGTATGCAAATCCGACCTAGTAAACATGCAAAACAATCATATTTATGAGATGACACTCACTCATTTACGTATGCAGCATAATGAGGTCATGTGACTGCGTTGGGCTGTAGCATAAGGCTATTTGAGGTGTTTCTCTTTGCATTATGCATTTTGATAGATACACTGTGTGTGTGTGTGTGTGTGTGTGTGTGTGTGTGTGTGTGGACCCCAAGGCCCGGCGTTTTCTGTGGGACTGTATCCTCAGCGTCATTAAAGAGGGCAGATCCGTTATACTCACCTCACACAGGTAACACATTCAGCCTTCTTAATTTGGGACGTGTCATAGACTATACAGTATAACCTAATCCTAACAGAAAACATGCATTTTTGCAGTTTGAATTACAAAAAAAATATAATAAATTATACAGAGTGTAGGATTTACTTTGAAACAATTTTCACTCAGAAACTGCTATAAATCTCACAGATAATTACCAAGAAATGACAAGTAACGAGTAAGTAATGACATTTTTAAGTAGAAAGATGGACGGACGGAGTATTTTCTTGTAAAAAATACTCCAATAATCTCCAATAATCTTTATTTACTACTTAAAGGAGGTTTTGTTAGATTTAGCTCACTTCTGGGTAAACATTTGTCCTATATATATA